CTGTGGCTTCCTTGTGGAGTCAGGGCCAGGGCCTCTGATCTCTGCCTGGCCATCCCCCATCTCCATGCCCCACACTTGCCTCTGGGGCTGGGGTGCTTCGGGTGTCCCAGCATCCACCTGACAGTCCTCACCCCACCCCACTTCCAGGTGCTGCCTGACGCATATCTGTTATGTCCCGGGTCTGTCCAGCCTTGCGCCCTTCTCAAGTCTGAACAAATGCAATAGTCCTGCGCCACCCTCCCTCCTGTCTCTCCTGTGCACCCTTCACCAGGGACACCTTTCTAATTACTCACTACCTGGCCTAACTCTTTTCCTTGCCCTCCTCCACTTTACCTTGGCCCATTTGGTGCCTTGTCATGACTCAGCATAAATATCATTGACTTAGGGAAGACTGAGCTCCAGGGCGGTAGGTCTAGGATCTCTTCCTGTCTGTAGGCCCCTAGCGGTCCTGGGCCTGTCACAGCTCTGGTTACATGAGATTTCATATCTTGCAGGTATGGAAAATGGCTTGTTTTACTTGGGGTCCCAAGTAGTCAGAACAGGCCTCAGCAGCATCAGTAAATGGAGAAGAGGCTGAGGGGTAGGCGGCTTAGTCTACCTGGCACCTCACATGCAGGCCTTGGGCAGAGAAATGACTTGCAGGGGCCTCCTGCTGGTTGGGTTCAACCGATGGGGCCACAGCAGGCATGACCAGCTCCACCTGCTAAATCCAGGTGCCCCCAGGAAAGGTAGATGTTGAAAGAGGCCACCCCAAACAGGCAGAACCAGGCAATGGGTGGGCCTGTGACCAGCAGTGTCTGCACGTATACGTGCTTCTGTCCCTCGGGTGTATACGTGTGCAAACATGCATGCCCTATGCCCTTGACATTGTCAGTGGGCATGTGCGAGCGCCCCCTCTTGGGGCCTTTCAAGATGGCCCAGCCCAGACTCCCAAGCCTACACTCTTCATAGAACCTCTACCCTCTGCCTCCCTCCTCTCCTAGGCCATCCCCTACCCAGTGTCCCATCCTGGGCTCTGCGGCCCTGCACACCTCCCTTTACAGGCATCACTGCAGTCCACCTGTGCGTTGCTGCACCAGTTCCTGTTGCTGCTGTAAGAAACTGCTGCTACTGGCCTCATTACAAACTTAGAGGCAATGCAGATTTAATGTCTTACAATTGTGAAACGAAATTATAAGAAATCCCAAATGGATCCCCTAGGCTTGCAGCAAGGTGTCAGCAGGAGGCTGCAGGGCAGAATCTGTTTTCTTGCCTTTCCCAGCTTCCAGTGGCTGCGCCCTCTGCAGGGGCCCCTCTGCACCTCCCGTCTTCAAAGCCAGCAGTGATTGTCCGTGTCTTTCTCGGAGCTCATCACTCTGATGCTCACGGTGCCCCCCTCTCACTGGTAGGACCCCTCGTCACAACACTGGCCCACCTGGGGTCATCTCCCGGCCAGTGGATTTGAAGCCTTCACACCATCTGCAGCCTCCATTCTGCATCGCCACAGCAGGTGGCATGTTCACCAGTTCTGGGAATTAGAATGTGGGCATCTCTGGGAGCCTCATCCTGGGCCCCACAGACAGGCAGCCCCTCCTTTTGGGGGTGAGCTCTCTGGGTCTGTGCTCAGTCTTAGCCAGGGATTCCCCACAGCAGAGCATCCCTCAGCCTGAAATAGGTGTTTATTCCATATTTGTTGTATAAATCTGATTTAACCAGCAATTTATTGAGAATTCATTTTTTGCTGGGTACTTTATAACAGGTTTATTGTTGTTGTTTTTTAAAGATTTACTTGTGCATATAAGAACTGGAGTGTAGGCCAGAGGTGAGGGGGTGATAGGATTCACCAGAGACAGAGTGGGGAGCAAAACAGGCAGACTGACTAAACTACACTGCTGAGGGGGAGCAGCGGGTAAGACGGGAGAGGTCTGCTGTGCCATGTGGGTCAGCTCCTTGGCCGGGGATCGAACTCATGCCTCAGTGGCTGGTGATAGCTTGATAGTGCTGTCTTTAACCCCTGTGCCACCAGAGAGTCCCTTATTCCCTTTTTATAGGTGAAAAAAATGAGGCCCAGAAAGGTCAGGACCCATCTAAGGCTAGAGAGCTTTGGTGCCCACAGACCCCAGATAGAAAATGCTGACACATTCATTATTTTGGGTCTAGGACTCCGAAAGAGAGCAGCTTCTGGACCTTTGGTGGTGGCCATAAAAATGCACCACTGGGTCCCAGACTTGCCCCCTGCTGTGCTCCCAACTCCCCTGCTTTGTGTTGAGGCCTCTGGCTGCTCCAGCCACGGTCAGGCAACACCCTTCTTGGCAGATGCAGGAGTCCCCTGACCCGCTATTCTGGCACAAGAACACCCCACTGGCCCTGCCACTCTCTGACCCAGAGCCCGGAAGTATTCCACTCACGTGCCACCCTTCCTGCTCTCCTTCCCAGGGGTCTGACCTGCTCCACAGACTGCTGTTGTGCCCAGATCCCGCCCCCACTTCCTGCTCATCTTCCCTCACAGGAATTTCCCCTGGAAACATCTTGTACATGGAAGCTTGTCTGTGTATATCTTTAAGGTTCAGAAGAAACACAGAGGTCTGAGGAGGCAGAGGTGGGAAGGGGATTTGTGACCCAACCCCAGAGGCTGAGGACGAGGATGCCATCTTGGTTCACAGGGGGGCACAGGTCGCTCCTGGAGTAAGAAAGCAGCTCAAATGCGGAATATTTCACTGGTGATGACCGGGAAAATGCCCTTGAGGAGAGGAATGCTGTGGCAGGTGTGATAATTCAAGCAATTGAAAAACATGGAGGAACAGTAGTTTCAAAAGTTTTCTGGTACAACCCCTCAGAAGGTCTCCACACTAACCCGGTGACTGCTTGTCAGTGGCCCACTGTCCCTCTTCAGTCCTCCACACGGCATCAGTAGGAACCAAGCAATTATTGACTATAGCACCTCAGTCAGCACTCCTGCCGAGGGACTGAGAGAAAGACCTGGAATCCCACAAGCATAGCTTTTGACTGGGTCCCACTGAACTCCAGTCTATGGCTGTCACCAGGGCACTCTGGATCCCTTGGTCCAGGAGCCTGCAGGGCCACTTGATCCTGACAGCAGGAGAATGCAGAGGTGCTTCTCCCCGACGAGAACCATGTGTGTGGAACTCGGGGGATCCACTGCAATTGTGAACGGACAGGTGCAGTATCCCCACCGGAGATGGGTTGATTTCCAAGGATTTAGATTCTGCTTTCCTCCCTGGAATGAAAGTTTGGGTCAAACCAACAGGCAAGCCATCAGCATGGGCCGAGGTTGTTGAAGGTAAGGGGAATTCAGGAAGGAGCGTGGAGGAGGCAGAGGATGAAATTTAACTGCATTGACAGGGGCTGCAGTTAATCTGATGTCCTCCCTGCCCCCACTTCAGAGTTTCCCTCAGGAAGAGAGGCCCAGGGGAAACGGAGGTGCTGCTCTCTGAGCCTGGAGAGGCAGATTTGTGTGGCAAGGGGTGGATCATGAGAACCATGAATGCTTCTGTCACGTCTCTGACTGCAGGGGTGATGGCTCGGCTCAGCTGCTGTATTCTGGAATCTGTGACTGTGCTTGTCTAGGGTCATGCTTCCCCAAGGGCAGCTGTTGGCCAATGACCAAGCGTGACGGGGATCCTGGGCAGGCCCGTTCTGGGGAGCTATGGGATTCCTCTGATGATTCTCGATGGCTTGAGGATTTGCACTGAGGTCTAAGCCTCTTCTCCCCAGCCAACTTTCCTTCCTGTTCCCCTTCACGACGGTCACACCTGCATCGCGGGTTCTTGGCGCTTCCAGTCTCCGCTGCCTTCCCCACTCTCTGCTTTTCTTCCCATTTGGTGTCTGCTTCTCAGAGGACTGGGACGAACCCATCTTTGTTCTCCCAAGTGTGGTCCTTGGACCAGCCGTCTCAGCACAACCTGGGAGCTCATTAGACACAGAATGTCAAGCCCCACCCCAGACCTGCTGAATCAGAATCATTTTAACAAGGTGATTCACATGTGCCTGTCAATGTGAGCACTGGTGTTAGATGATTTGGGTCTTTTTCAGCAAACCCTTTAATTCTGGAAATTGTCCTTGAAAAAGTAACCAGTTGCAGCCACAAAATCACAGATTATTTGGGTCCTGCATCTTGTAGGTAAAAGCCCAGTAAAGTGAAGGGAATGGTCAAGGTCATACAGTGAAATAGAATAGGAGCCACACCCTAGGTCTCCAGGCTCCCAGCTCTTCCCACTGCAGGCTCTGCTGTGAACTGGCTACTTGCTCTTAATCTGTACTGCCTAGTATGTGGTAGCACTGGGAATCTGGTTAGTTGCGTTTTGCGGTATAATTTAAAAAAATTGGGGCTTTATCCTGGGTTCTTGGCCTAGTATTTCTGTAACCTTTAAAAATTCCTGATGGGAGTGCCTTCTATTATTCATAATGAGCGCCATGGACTACACCTGTGTTTATTCAAATTAAGTAATGGGGTGGGGTCCCTGGATTACTTTAGAATGAGGGCTGGTCTCCCGAAAGTCCAAATTTGTGAATAGAGGGTGGGAACTTTAAGTGGAAGGAGGCTGGAGAATGGGTTATAAAAACTATTCAAAGACTAGATCCAGCCATTCAAACACAAAGGGGAGCTTTCACGCTGGTGACCACACTGAGGTGCTGAGGGGGTAGGGTGGGGTGGTGGCACGCCCAGGGTGGGCAAGGAGTGCTGTGCCACACCCGTCTTCATGTGTCTCTTCCAGTTGGTTGTCGTTGAGTTCTATCTTCATGGTAAATTGGTAAATAAAAGTGTTGTCCTGAGTTCTGTGAGTTGTTTTAGAAAATTCTTGAACCCGAGGAAGGGGTTATGGGAAAATCCAAATTTATAGCCAGTCTATCAGAAGTATGGGTGCCCCTAGGACTTGGAACTGGCATCTTAAATAAGGGCAGGGCCTCTCCAGTGGCACAGTGGGTTAAGCGCAGTGCTGTGAAGCTGTCCGCAGCCTCTGCAGCGCGGGTTCGATTCCCAGCCAGCCAGGGAGATTCTCACATGGCGAGGCAGACCTCGCCTGTCATGCCCGCTGCTCCCCTCAGCAGTGTATTTTGGTGGGTCTGCCTGTTTTTCTCCCTGCTCTGGCTCTGGTGAATCCTCTCACCCTCCTGCACCTCTGGCCTGTACCCCAGCTCTTGTATAAAAATAAATCTTTTTTAAAATAAATAAATAAAACGAGGGCAGTGTTGTGGGACTGAGTCCTTAACTGTGTATGGAGTCTGTGCTAACTCTGGGAGTTAGTGTTAGACTTGAATGGAATCGTTGGACACCCTCTTGGTTTGTGGAAAAATGACATGTATTTGCTATGAAAAGTAGTGACAGAAAAAAAGCTAACATGGTGCTCTAAACTGAATACTGTAAAATACACACTGGGTTTTGAGGACAGTATGAACAAAGAATATAAAATGCAGCATTAAGAATATTTACTATCACATGTTGAAACAATAGTCTGACATACTGGGTTAACTAAAATATATTACAAATAAGATAAACTATTACTAAAATTAGCTCGTTTCTTTTTACCGTTTAAAAAAAAGAATGGGAGCCACTGATGTATTTGGCACTGTCGCTCTGAGCCCTGTCCCTGCAACACTGCTTTCTTAATACTCTGCTTACCTCACCTGGCTGCTGATGGCAATTCCTGGTTATCAGCTTGAGATCTTTCAGGAATTCTTTGTGGGATGGTTGGGTTAAGTCCTAAAAGAACTGTGAAATATCTAGAAACGTCAATTTGCATTGAGAAGCAAAGCCACTCTTAAGTTTCAGCTCTAGGTCTGGAGTAGCGACTGGAGCATGGAGGGCTAAGGGCTTGGGCTGAAGGGGGTGGGGCTTGGTAGCTGTTGGGTCTGGCTCTTTCGAGAGCCCACCCATAGAAAGGCCTAGTCACAGAGCCACAGGGGAGGAGGGGCTGTTGAGTTTCTTATCCTAGTCTTTCTTCCTCGGAACCCAGTGTTTTTGTCCCACCACAGCTAAGCCACGAGGAAAAAAGAACATTCAGATATTCTTGTACTCAAACCCCAATTCTAGTTGCTGTCTTCCTAATTGAATTTTAGGGGCACAGCAGGGATAGAATGGCAGTTTCCAGGGCCAATTATTAAAGATGGCTGGGACCAACGAGGTCGAGGGTTCTTGCCTGGATCACAGGAGCCCTCGAGACTGAGGGCTGGTCACTGCCTCACCTTCAGCCTTGTGGCCCTTTACACCTGGCTGAGAGCGTCTGGTATCAAAAGACTTAGCGATTCGGCCCTCAGATGAGAATCTGAATTCAAATGGCTACATGTCCAGATGTGGCCAAGGTCCCCACAGTAAACCCCAGTTAACTAGAGGAAATGTTCAGAACAGAATTCATTGATCTTTCATTTGTGCTGTTGAACAATTTCTTGAAACAAAAAAGCGTCTAACTAGAGTTCAATTTTTTCTGCCTAAAACTCTCACAGAATACTCTCACCACTGATGGTGAAAATGTGACCCAGAATAGATAAAGGGCTTACCCCGTTTCATCTACAGTCTTAAGCCAGCATGTCGAGTCTCTCTGGCTACTTCTTGAACAGTGAGGACAGTAACAGAATCAAGACATGAAATGGGTAGTGCTGTGTTTTTAGCCTTGAACTGTTAGTTCCCTGTGAGTCCTGAATGTTGCCTCCTGAGTGCTGTGCTCTGCAGAATGAACTTTATTTCACAGTAAACAAGGGGCGCATTTTCTTAAGAAATAAATTTAATTCAAGGTGGTTAGTGAATGTAAGGCATGTGATGCCTTCATGAAAGTTAAAAGAATCCAGTTACAAAAGAAGCACTGTGTACAGTCTCAAATAGCTGAACGTACAATGGGCTCCATATTTTACAAAGTACAAAAATTATTTCATATACAAAGAAAAAAATACAAACAATGTGCAAAAACCATTTTTCACAGGTGTCAATTTATAAAATGAAAATGATATAAAATCCTTCATTCTTCTTCTTCTGCCCCAATTTCTTATATATTAACAGTTCTATTTCCTACCGTGTAATTTTAAATTTGAAAATCTGATTTTTAATCTACAAAGTGGTCTCTTATTTTTTAAAAAGGGAATCACTTCATTATTGAAACTCATGACTGAGTCAGTTAATTTTATATTAAATTATAAGCAGACTTCTTGAAAAACAAGGATATAGAAATCATATATACATATTTTGAAATATTAGTTTGGTATTTAACATATTAACATTTCAAAACAAATGCGATGATCGGTTACCTAGGACTTGATTGGCTGCAGTGGCTGTAGCAGAGATGCTGTTCTGTTTACCGTGACTAGCGAGCATCCCTGGATCTTAAGCTGAACAAACACGAGGTTATCAAAAGAAAAGCAAATCTAAAAAGTAGTTCTTACGTGCAAAAGTGTTGTCTGGGCACCAAGCACTGTCGACACGGCTTTTCGCCACAGGTTTGTGTCACGAACACCTGGCGCCTGTCTTTCCAACACCTTCTCTTCATTAGGAGTTCAGTGCAAGTGTTTGTTCCAAGTGTTAGTGCATTCAGCTTTTTGCATGTTATTTTATGTAAGCTGCCAGGGAGCGGAAGAATACATAGGAAAACAGGGTCTTGGATCCTCAGAGGACCTCTGTCCTAGAGAATTCAGTATTTGGGAAGCAGTTATTTTCCTGCATTGGCCTGGTCATTGTTTCATCACTTCTTGGACAACCTTTTTGTCCATCAGGATAATCCTGTGTGCTCCTCTGTGCTCACCACTAAGCACTGATGTTTTTGCTCTGGACCCTAATGACCAAGCAGGGACTGTGGAAGCACCTTTTGGAGCACCAGAAAACTAAACATCTCTGAGGTCAGGGAGTGAGAGTTCCTGTGATAGGAACCCATTCTAGAAGAAAATGAGACATTCTTGGAGGGTTTTGATTTCGGCTTGTCAGGAAACTCTCCAAGGAAATTATGACCTTGCAGAACAGGAAGAACTTAGTTTTCTTGAAGAGCCCCAGTAGATGGTAGCCATTTGTCAAGGGGATGGAGGACAGTTGGCTCAGTAGCATTCTTCTGATCCCTAACCACTAAGACTCTGTAATAACAATTTGTAAGATGCAGAGGGGGGTGCCTGGAACTCTTGACCAAGCTTGGGTAACACATCCACTCAAGCTAGGCAGACATACGAACTGCTGAATGAGCAGACTGAGTAGGACTGAGCAGCAGAACCTCAGGCTCTGGGACATTATCAGCTCCTCAAGGTTTCATGCACTTTTCTATCTGGCAGCATGAGTCTCTCTTCCGCTTGGGTTGACCAATGGCTCAGGCATCAGAGATACAGCTCTGGATCCTGTCCATCCACTGCTGGGCAATCTGCCCATCCTGTGCGCAGAAATTATACACACGTTTGCTGGTCTTGAGCTATAAAACCAAGTGAAGAGAATGAGAAATGAAGGGAAGGGCTGTTTTATGGCTTTGGGCAAGTATGCGAATCAATCCCTGCGTACTTCCCTTTCTGTACTGCCCTCGAAACTCTGTATTTCCTCTTCTTTCCACTATCATCTGTCATTGCTTTGATAGTCACTTTACTTTTCTAGTCAAAGCAATAGAGAATGTTAATAGAAGGGTACTAGCAGAAAAAGGAGAGACACCACGATAGCCTACTTTGTATCTTTCTGGAGACTTCCTTGGCTAAAGAGAGTCAAGAATGGCTAAAGGTTTTGGCTTCTTGCACACACTACACCAATACAGTGAAGATGCTGAGGACGCTATTTGTGCTTCTAAGAGAAGCCTGCAATTCATCCATGCCATGATGAAGTTGGCCTTTTTCCCATACCCTCCTCTAGTCCAAAGTCAGGGAAATAGCCTAGGGCCTGAGCAGGGCTCTTGAGTATGACCCCTGCTTGTTATGAAGCCTTGGCTCCAGGGAATAGATAAAATCCCTATTACGATCCAAAAAGCTCCCTAAGAAAACTAAGGGCTTCTGAAGATGTAAGGGCAGAAGTCATCATATGTCACTGAAAACAGCCCTTTGTGGATGGTCAAGCATGACATCCACTGGATAGGAAGGGAAGCAGCATCTATTCTTGGCAACAGGTGGTGACTGAAATAACTAACAATATTTAACAAGGCGGTTATCTGCTTCCAAATGTGGTTGGACACCGTTTGAAGGAGTCCTTTTTGCAAAACAATGTATAGCCTTTTTGAGGTGAATGGACAGCTGGGAGATGTCAGGTTTGGACATCAAGAGTGCTGAGTTCAAGTGGTGGAGCAATTCCCAAAGCCAGGCAGTCTGTGACCTATCTGTAGTCACCAGTAATTGTCTGAGGTCTCACAATTCTTGGAGGCAAATCATGTAAAGACAGAGCCAGGAAAAGCCAAGCAAGAGCAACTTACATCAAAGAAGGCCTTGTCACTTGTGTGTTTTGGGGCTCCCATACTGGGGCCAGCAGGAATGACCATTTCTACTTCAGCCAGATCAATGTGGCCTTTACAGCTTGTGTCCTCACCTGAGTCATAGTATCGCAACTGGAACGGAAAGGAAACAGATGGGGACATGAGAGACACAGAAAGGAAAAATGACTTTTCACACTGTATGTGAATATTTTCTCTTTCTAAACTATGCCTGGAAGTACAGATGAGAAATTAAACACACTGGTTGCCGTAGGAAGGAGAACTGTGGCTGGGAGAAACGAGGAGAAAGGTATTTTTAGGAATTTGAACAAATATATTACATATTACAAATATGCAATATTAAAAATAATGTCAACTAACAATCTATGTAATATAAGAAATGGGTTTAGAATATATACAGAATTTTAGAAGTTGATTAAGAAAAAGTCAACATTGTTTAAAAATGAACAATGATATAAATATATATAAATAAAATTAAAAAAAGAAAAAGATAGTCAAAATAATAGAAAAAGATGTCAGTAGGCATGTTGCAGAAGAAACACAGTGACCTTTAAACATCTGAAAGGATGAGCAGAAAGAAAAATCAGTGAGATTTCACTTTTCACTTAGATTAAAAAAATACTAAAAATGGCTGATAATGCCCAGGTTAGGCACTTGGTATTCTTAAACACTGTTAGTGGGAATATAATTTGTTAGAAACTTTTTGGAGAACAATTCGGCAAGATCAACTAAAATTTAAGATGTTTATGTCTACACATATACCTTCTCCACCCCTAGACATCTGTACTGCAGGAACACTCCCACGAACATTCAAAGAAACATGTATCAAGAAGTTTCCTTCAGCATCACTTCTAGCATCTAAAATTTGAAAAGCTGTATTTGTCTTTCAATGGGGTATTCCTAACTAAATGACAGTATATCAATAATATGGAATACCATAGAGATTTTCAAAAATGATAAATAGCTACAGAAACTGGTAGAAAAATATGATCAAGATACAGTATATTAAAAAAGCACATTGCCAAATAGCATGTAGATATAAAATGATTTTTGAAAAACATAATAAACTGCTCAACATTTGACTGAATGGTTACTATGTGTCAGTACTATTCTGATTGTTTTACATAACTCATTGAACCCTCCTGACAACTCAAACTATATATATTATATAGCACATGTAATAATATATACATAAAAATAGGAAAATTTAGAGAAATATATGCAACTTCTAGTTATCTCTGGGAGCTGGGGGCACAGGGAACTTTTCCACCTTCATGAGATGTTTGAATTGGTATATTTCTTTTGAAAAATAGGAAGAAAGGACAAAATATTCTAAAGATAAAAGAGACTGCTGGTAAAAAAGCCTTAGTGATCTGTAGTCTGGATTTCACTAATGTGGCAGGAATGTGTCTGGGGCTTCTGTATTGTAGTTCTGGCCTCAGACTTTTCTCTGTCTCTACCTTTAAGCATGGTATAGATAGGGCAAAGAGAAAAACTATTTCTTTCATGTTGAAGACATCCAAAAGAATGCTAAGCATGCAAGCATAATTTGATGTAACTATATATTACAGAAAAATTATGACATTTCGTATGTTACAGTGGTTTGAGGAGACACTGCTATATACTGCAGTAGCTATGATTTTAGAGACTGTTATTTTAAAGTATAGCCCCAAGACAGACCTTCTATTGCATATTTGAAAATCTCTGTATCCTTTCGCAAAGACTTTGTAAACTTTTGAAACCCCTTGAACAGAGGAAAAGGTGCTCCCCATATGAGTCTTCATTTGGAAGGAGTTTTCTAGATGCAGGTTCAACCAGAGCTTTGTGTAGGGCTAACAGACCAGTACTGCATTTTAGAGATGAACTCACTGAGAATCAAAATGTATACCCCTCAGCCTCAATGCTGGCCGGTCAGTCCCATGGTTAGCGAGGCCTGTAGTGAGAACACAGGAGGGCCGGCAAGTCTCACAAGCGAAGGGTTGAAAGGAGCCAGGTTTGGGTCAGGTCCTTCTCCCTTGGGGTCCCTGGAGCAAGGATTATCACACTAAGGATTGCAGGGGTCACAGCAGAAGCTAAGGACCTAAATAATGGGCAAAAGACTTCCGGACATGCTCAGCAAGGTTTAGTCTAGTGCATGCACAACCTGAGTTCCAGGCTTAGATGAGAACATCCCCTTTGCCTGTTTCGGGGCCCCTTCCCTCTGTTGCTGCCATCTTTGAGGGATAATAATATCGCTTTCGGTAACCAGTTAAGTGGTGGGGACAGAGAAGATGTCCAATAAATGTCAAATAAATGAATACTCTGTTTTGAATCCTTATGCTGTAAGGATGAAGGTGATCTGTACTCTGGGGAGTGTTCACAAGCACAGGCTTTATGTATTGTGTGGTAGGCAAAAAGGCCATTTAAAATGGTCCTCTCCTGACCTGGGTTTTAAGAGCAGGCAGTAGGAGATATACGAACATTAAAAAGCAGAGTTCTATTGCTCTTTTTTAAAGATTTATTTTATTTATGTATGCAAGAACAGGGGTGTAGGCCAGAGGTGCGAGGTGGGGATAGGATTAACCAGACACAGAGTGGCGAGCAGAACAGGCAGATTTGCTAAGGGGAGCAGCAGGCGAGAAAGGAGAGGTGTGCTGTGCCATGTGGGTTAGCTCCCTGGCTGGGGATCAAACTCAGGCGATGGCAGTGATAGCACTGAGACTTAACCCCTAGGCTACCAGGAGGGCCCTCTACTGCTCTTAACGGTCTGGACTCAGGGGTCACTGCCTATGCCTGTATACAGCAGGCAGAGCTACTTTAGAACTTTCCTCAGAAAGCTTCTGACCTCACTCAGGGACACACAGGTCCCCAGAGGAGCCCCCAGGCAATACCTGAGAGGCCTTAGGAAAGCAGTCTGTATGTGAAAGGTATCTTCTTGCCAACAGTTACACAACTGTTAGGGACTGAGACAAGCATAGAAAGAAATGATTTCTTTCTCTCTCTCTCTTTTTATTGTATTAACAGTGGTTTACAACTCTGTGTATCATTCAGAGGTACATGATCATCACACCTCTTCAGATGGATGTTACCACACCACACACACCACCAGGTCACCCATAGTCCTCTACATAGTCCACTGGGCCCCCGCCACACCCAGCTCTCCCACTCCCAGTCTTCTTTGGTAGCCTAAATTCTGTAATCAGATCTGCAGGGTTTGTTAACTGGTTTGGCTTTATCGGACCCTTTGTCTATATTCCATATATAAGTGAATCTGGTATATGTCTTTCTCCTTCTGACTTACTTCGCTTAGCATAATTCCTTCCAGTTCTATCCATGTTGCCATAAATGGCAAAAGTACATGCTTTTTTTTTTTTTTTTTTTTTTTTAAAAAAAAGCTGAGTAGCATTCCATTATGTATATATACCACATCTTTCTGATCCACTCATTTGTCCTTGGGTACTTCGGTTGTTTCTATAAATTGGCTATTGTAAATAGAGCATTTTTAAAGGCTTTAGAGTATTACCTGATGTTTTGTTACATCCAAAACGAACCAACGAGGCTTCCAACCTTTCAGTAAAGCTCCTCTTTTGTACAACGTTCCCTCAAAGGACCTAGAGGAAATTAATGTGGTCGTTAATTTTGAATTTCTACTTAAAAAGTGCTGTAAAGGGGATGTCTGCTGCTTTTGTCAAGTCCCTCTTCACCTCAGGTAATGCCAGGCCAATCAGAATTCTCCCAGGAAATTTTCTACTAGACTTTCAGGGAAAGACTGCCTCTTTGTGCTGGGATATCAAGCTTGTGAGGTTTGGCACTCTCAAACCTCATGAAGAGCCATGTCTGTGACCTGCTGAGACAAATGCAACCCAAAGGCGAAAGCAGCAACCCAGAGATACTGTGTGAGAAACTGGCACAGTTTGAGTAAAACCCTTTTTTGCTTGACTGAGCATGAGCTGGATCTGTGTTGTCTGTCACTGAATAAGTGTTGACGAACACACATTCCCTCAAAATATCTGGCAGACATGAGATAATAACAGTCAGGACTCAACCACAAATAACTACAACCTCTTGGCAGTATTTTTGATCTTTCCTCTTTAAAGAACTACCTAATGCATTTAAAACAAAAATCAAGAATTACAGCAGACCCATTTCAAGTTTACAGAAGGCTGTACTACACAGGCCTGTGGTGCGGCCTTAGGCAGAGTGGGAAAGCCTTTCCTGCACTCCCAGGGGCTCAGCAGGTCCACCTGTTTTCCTCGTTCTTGGATGTGTACTGGCTGTACAGGGTGGCTGCTCTTCGGTCCACGCCATTGGATGGGGAGGTGCTGGCATTCTGCTCCTCCCCCACGCTGCTATCTGGGAGATGCAGCAGAGGCCTCTTCTGATAGGAAGGCAGGTTGGTAGACACAATTCCTGGAGAGCCTGCAGGGTGTCTCTGGGGCTGAAAAAGATAGAACTGGAGCTAGGAAAGTTTTATAAGGATTTTAGGCAACTGATCTGAAAATTTCATTTAAAAAATTTCTCCCAAGGAAAAAACCTAGCCAATAAATAAAATATGTTACGAACATGTTTATCCTGGAGTTGTTTAGAACAGTAAAAAAATGGAAACAACCTAAATATCAATAGGGCACTGGCTAAAAAGAATAAATCTCCACCTGTGGCTGGTGTGATAACAGCTCCTGAATTGTTATTTCATGGCAAGAGACAGTGCCTGAAGGATCATCCTTCTTAGGACGAGAGGCTTCTTCATCCCATTGTCCTCAACCCTCTTGTGACATCTGACCCTACTGACTTCTCCTTCCTGAAGTGCTCTTCAGAACACTCATCTGTTATAACTTCTCTTCTGGTGCAATTGGAGGCAAACTGATGTGGGTTTGACTGGTGGCTGCACCAACCACTAGTTGTGTGATTTCACATAGGAAATGAGACACCCCCTAACCGTGTGCTAAAAAGGATGCTAGTGTGTTAATAAGCGTGCTTGATAAATGTTAACCCAGAAAAAGGAGTGAGCAACAAAAAGTAGCATAGTTTGTTGTTTTAAAATATTTTTTTTTTTCCCTCTGATTAGTTCTCTAGAGCAAGCATGGTCTTGGAGTTCCCCTCTCCCCGCATGTGGAGATCAGCTGAAACCACAGAGACACAGAGATAGAAAAGAACCCAGTAATTTCCCTGGATATGGGCCCCGAAACATAAGTATTATGTCACTGTGGTAAAGTGAGACACTCAGGAAGTATTCAGTCACTGGGAACTTTTTGCCCTGGAGCCCCGGAACATGACCCTTCTTGTTCACTCTTCCTTTTGCCCGTAATTCCGCTTGGGTTACCTGCGACTTTGTGCCCGATTTGACTTAGCAACCTCAAACAGCTCAGAAGTAGTTCCTCGAAGGTCTTATAAACTCACCTGATCTGCTCTGGATTCTTCTTTAATGTCCATAGTTACCCTTTCCCATAGTTGGTGCCACTTCTCAGGGGTTTGGTTTAATTTATGCTCCAATCTTTCAATTTCCTGTAAATTAAAAGGAGTTTTCCACAAATCAGTGTTTCATAGAAATCACGATGTGTCCAAAGCCACATCTCCTTTGTACTGGGCCAGATAAATAGCATGGCCAGAGGGCAGCTGGAGAAAGTGATAAATTCCTAAAGTAGGAATAGTGCTGGGAACCCTAGTATATAATGCACTGTGGCAAAGATGGTTATTAGCAACTGTAACCTGGCCATTTTGTATGGAAGTTGTAAGAGATGAAATACGTATCTCAAACACCTTCACCCTTAACCTGCAGGAATCTGATGGCCCCAGTAAAAGGTCGAGCACTGGGCTGAGCACTAACAGCTGAGGTAGATGAGAAGTCTGTTCTTGCGGAGGAACCCATGAACTCTGATAATTCAAACCAGACGTGGAAAGACTGAACCAAGGGAAGTCCAAGGAATGGAGGTTCCTTCTGATAGGGAAGCCAGAGATCAGAACGTTGCCCCTGACAGTGCTCTCACTGACGCATGTTCCTTCGGGCTATAAAACTGGATGAAGAAAACTTCAGGAACTGTCTGGCTCAGGGCTGCTGTTCTTATCAGGATGCTTTCACTTCAGTATATTCCTTGCAGTAAATGGCTGGTAGTACTCCCATCAGGCCATTAGCTACCCATACTACTGACCCACAAAAGCCATAACCTACGCCTGACTCAGGCTGCCTGGGCAGCTGAAATAGCTGAGAAGTTGCAAATTGCTCCATTTGCTTGACTGCTTCCTCATAATGCCACAAAACTCACTTTATTGAGACTTTTCCAGGAGCTGAGTCTGGTTCCCCACTGATGCTGGAGGGCAAATTTGGTTTCCTTGTACTCTTTAGAGTGCTACCTAGTGTACTGTTGAGTGAGGAGAAACATATTTGGGCATTTGTGAATGAGTCTTAGCTTAGTTCTTTAGGCTATGCCTCCAGGGCCCGTGGTGCCCTAGGTTGTGGCTGACTTACACGGAAAAGGTTGGTGAGTGCATCAGGCTGAGTACAGCTGACATCATCATAGCAAGGCCACACTGTCTTCCTCCCACTTTGGGGCCCAGCTCCTCCGGCTAGTTCAGAGTCCTCAGAGGGTAGGTGCTTGGGGGTCAGCATCATCCAATCATATGAAGGCCCTGTAGACAGTGTCTCCTCTGTGTAATAATCCCACTTCTTGAGGTTGGAGACATTAACATTGGGCTTCAAGGCCTGTTTAAAGAAAATTCTGAAATATAGTTTAATCTTAACCCCAAAGTAACGCAAACTTAATGCCAGCCCAGCCCCTAACATTTACAGGGTTCAGGGCAGGAGTATGAACAGAGGTTTGTATACCATAATGCTATCTAAATGTTATAAGATAAACTAGTAAATAAAAATATGTTCTATCTTCCTACCTTGACAAATATAACTTCCTAATGACCTACAAGTCTAAACTCAAATAGAAAACTCTTGGACTCCTTGGAATTCTACACCAGAAAGCAGTAGCACCAGGGAGGCTACTTGGCCTAACCCCGCATCCCCATCTCCACCCAATCTGGCTCTGTCCTATATCCTGGGGTCTTTGTGAATATGTGTGTGTATACCACAGCCCTCACAGGTATTCTATCTACTCCCTATCAAACTACTACTACTTAGCCATCCTTTGGGCACTTGCATCGGAGATACACATGGAGAAGTGTCCTGGTGATTAACTTGAATTTGGGCAAGGAATTTGGAGGTATTAGAGGATGATTTAGATGAAAGATGGGGATCTAGGCATGTACCCTTGCTTTCTCTAAATCCTTACCTCAGGAAGATGGTGCAGTGGGGAAAGGCAAGAATAGGGTACTAGCGCACGGTGCCCCAGGGCAGACAGGCCTTCTGGCTCCTGATTAAGGTGGACACTATCAAACCCCGTTTCTCCTATCCCAGTGCCTATTTCATACAGATGTGCATGGCGGAGCCTGGCTGCTCCTGAGATGTCATTCTTTGGCTGGGTTCCAAACACTCCTTCTTGTAACCAAAGCCTTACTTTCATGGCTTTGGTTACAAATGGACTTATGGAAACCTACAGTATTTTTGATTTTTTTAGCTTAGATGTTGTGTTGAAGTTTCAAGTTTTGTTAGTTCTTTCTCCCTGGGCAAAACTGCCTGCTTTTATTTTCATGAGGTTATCCCTTGTAAGCTCCTAATTTTTGTGTCACGATTTTGGAGAACAGTTTATTCCATCATGACATAAATCAACAGTATACCTAGCAAATATTTATAAAAAGCTTCAACAAGCTTATAAACACTAGAAGTAAAGAAAATTTAACACAAATTGTTCAGAAAATGCTTTCTTATTGTACCTCTATTTCCACTGGAGAATATAAATAATTAAAGAAAATAGGACTCCTTTTGTGCATTCTATCAATACACTCCCAAATACAAATTCCTTTTTTGGCATGTTTGTCTCCTTTATCCTCAAATAAAGTTCCTGTAAATAAAAAAAAAAAAAATCCAGTAAAACCAAAGTCAAGTAAACCAATATGCATGTAGTGAACAGAAAGTGGAAAATTTCTTAGGGCTTTAGAAATAGCACTGTATGTGCAGAAACTTTAGATAATAACCGCAAAGCTAAAGACAGGAATGAACTTCACAGCTATATAGAAAACATCAGGTAAGGTTTCTCCCAAGCATTTAGCAGTAGTATATCATGACTCTCTTCCAATCTGCATTCTACATTTGTAATTAGATTCACATAGGTCCATGTCATTAGACATTCCACACATTTTTCAAGAGAAAGTGGAAGAATTTAGTGCTGATTTGATGGAACTCAGTTACAAACATAATTTTATATTTCTTTTTTAGTCACTGGCTATTATTATGAAACCATTTAAAATGTTTTCTTGTTAAGTAGTTTACATACACCACAAATTATGCTTGGGGAGCCTTTGGAAGACAGGGGGTGAGCTCTGTGTTCTTGGGTGACTTTATTTTTTTATTTTTTAGATTTATTTATTTATGCATACAAGAGCTGGGGTATAGGCTAGAGGTGTCGGGGGTGAGAGGATTCACCAGAGACAGAGTGGGAAACAGAACAGGCAGATTGACCGAAATACACTGCTGAGGGGAGCAGTGGGTGAGGGCGAGTCAGGAGAGGTCTGCTGTGCCATATGGGTTGCTCCCTGGCGGGCCTGCGGGTTGAACTCGTGCTGCAGTGGCTGCGGATAGCTTCACAGGTTGCATCTTAACCCCTTGCGCCACCAGGGAGGCCCCCTTGGGTGACTTTAAAGTAGTACTTAGAGAATTCAGGGATTTTTTAATACTATCTTTGTACCTTTCAAACAGTCAATCCATCACATGAGTCCATTTTTTTTTAATAGGAAGATGTGCTGGGTTGAGGTAGAAGGTATTTCTTTAATACAGTGTGTCTATAACTTGCCTTGAATGAAATGATTCAGTGAAAGTCAACAAGCATTTTACCAGTTTATCAGAAACGAAACGTCTCAAGTCCAGTACTGCACAAAAACACAACAATATGTTTTCTCTATCTTTTAACTGCAAGAATGCAGTACAACAGTTCTCAACCTTGGCCATACAATAGAAAAACCAAAGTTCAAAAAAGATCCTGATGCTGAGGCCTCACCCAGAATAATTTAAATCAGAATCTCTGAGGCCGGGCCCCAGGCAGTAAATTTAAAAGTCTTCCAAGTGACTCAAATGTAACTAATTCTACTTAATGGCTTCCCAACACATAAGTGCTTAGGAAATTAAGGTTCCTGGGCCTCCCTGGTGGTGCGACACAACCTTCCTGGGTTGAGACACAACCTAGGAAGCTGTTTACAGCCACTGCAGCATGAGTTCGATCCCCGGCCAGGCAGCTGCCCATATGGCACGGCGGCAGACCTCTCCTGTCTCACCGCTGCACCCTTGAGTAGTGCATTTCTGTCAGTCTGCCTGTTCTGTTCCCCACTCTGTCACTGGTGGGTCCTCTCAACCCCCCCACACCTCTGGCCTATACCCCAGTTCTTGTATGCATAAATAAATCTTAAAAAAAAAAAAAGAAATTAAGGTTCCTGATTATGATGTGTGGAATGACAATTCTAAGAATCAACAAAGGTCTAGATGTGTAAACAGAATGGGAAATGGTCTCATCAGAGCCAACTCCCTTATCAAAAGTATAAAATATCATACTAGACAATTTTAATAGCAAGCACGGAAAACAGTTATTTTTCTGATTTTGTATTTTAAACTGGGAACATCAGTCAATATTTTCTTGCTACTGAAAGAGTTCTCTTTAAATATTTAGGTATATATACTGAAAATAGCCAATTAAAAAAATATCTAACAACCATATATAATTTCCCCTCCCCTTTCTCTTTAACAACAAAAGAATGTAAATCTCCTTGGAAGAGGTTTTCACATGGGCAGGCTGACTTTCATAATCTACCCCTTACAATTATCACTGCTATTTAAAAATTAAAACAATGATGGTGATGTCTAAAACTTATTGAGTACTTACTATGTGTCAGCAACTGTGCTAATATTTCTAATCATGGCCCCAGAGGGTGGATGCTGCTATTGTCCTCAGTGTAAAGAAGAGACTACTGAGATTGAGAGGTATCTAACTGGCACAGTGTACTTATGTGGGTAACTGGGAAGTGTTAGCATTTAATACCGGGCTATTTGCTCCAAAATCCATGACCTTTACTGCTATTCAAATTGCCTACAAGGGCAGGCACCTTTCCTACTATAGTGTAGCAGGGATGGAAAAATTCTGAGTCAGACATTTCTCCTCACTTTGAGGCATTAAAACAGTAGCTGATCTAACTGCTCAAAGGTGCGAAAGGGGTGACCACTTTTGGTCCCTAAGAATTAACATAGCATATAATCTCAGAATCTGGGTACTCATTCATCTCCATTCTACTTTTGTAGTGCAAAGTCAAACCCTAAAGTGTCCTGGCCATACTTGGGGATATCTATGCTACTGGAGTTGTTTTTTTTTTTAATATTTTTAAATAAATTTTTTTACATCATTTTTCATTTTTGTACAATGTATGCATTTTCATCTTGGTTATCATCCCTGTAAAATCCCCACCCCACCCTTGTTTTGATCCTACTCCCTCCCCCCTCTGTGTGTCTCTGGTTTATAGCTGCCTGTTGATTGTGATTTTTACTTTATTATAATTAGTCTTTTTCCTGAATTCCTGCTATGAGTGAGATAATTCGGTATTTTTCTTTTTCTTTCTCGCTTATTTTGCTAAGCATGATCCCTTCCAGCTCCATCCATGTTGCTGCGAATGGCATGAGTCTATCTTTTTTGATTGCTGAGTAATATTCCAGTATGTATGTCCATGCAAAGCTAAATAAAAAGATGGTACAAGGACAGGCAAATACATACCATGCTCTAGTCTTTCATAGTCTGAATCCAAGAGAAACGTTTTAAATCGATTAGATACATAGTGGAAAGCCAAAAACTTTAAGTAATAGAGATTGAATTCAAACTCAGTTGGGTACTGGTTGTGAACCTGAAATACACAAGGCAAAGAAAAGAGTAAGAATCAAGTGAACAAAAAGCAGAAGGCACAAAATGTTGACTTGAAATATGCAGGAGATTATGGGGTAGCTCATTCAATTGAATCCCTATTGCTGAGTGGAGGAGGGAAGGGAAGGAGTCTTGATGAGCCACACTAGTTTTTCTAAACATAATCTTATTTAATTTCCACAACAATAACACAGCACAGGCATATTTCCCCCAGTTTTTTGAGATGTAACTGACATAGTACATTGTTAAAGTTTAAGATGAACAACGTGATGCTTTGAAAAACATCCCATTACAAAAAGATTGCCACAAAAAGGTTAACACCTGTATCACCTTACTAATTGCTTTGTGTGTGTGTGTGGTAAGAACATTTAAGATCTACTCTCAGCAAATTTCAAGTATATTACATAATGTTGTTATCCACACCATGCTCTACATTGGATCCCAGGATTTATTCCTCTTATAACAGGAAGACTGTCCCTCCTGACCAATATCCTCATTCCTTCTACCACCAGCCAAAATAATCTGAGTTTGACTTTTTCAGATTCTCTGTTTAAGTGAGACTAAACAGTATTTATCTTCCTTTGATTTATTTCGCTTGGTATAAAGCCCTTAACGTCCATCTATGATGTTGCAGATGGCATGTTTTTTTTAAATGACAGAGTAATATTCAGTTGGTATTATATATATTTAAACATTAAAACAATCTATTAAATGGTAGGGCACATACAGTTGTTTCCATGTCTTGGTTATTGTGAATAATGTTGCATTGAATATGGGAATTTAGATAGCTCTTTGAGATAATGATTTCATTCCCTTGAATAGATATCCGGAAGAGGGATTGCTGAATGATGAGGCAATTCTGTTTTTTGTTTTTTTTTTTTTTTTTTTGAGGAACTTTAATGCTATTTTCCGTAATTATACCAATTTATCATTCCCACTATCAGTGTACAGGATTCTCTTCACATCCTTGCCAACACTTTTATAATAACCACTTTAACACTAAGATGATATCTTATTGTGGCTTTGATTTATGTCCCCTGGGAATTAGTGACATTGGGCACATTTTTATATACTTAGTGGGAACCCGTGTGTTTTTTGGGAAAAAATATCTATTCACATCCTCAAGACAGGCGTTACTATCCCCATTTTACAAACAGGATGAGCGAGATTAGGCTCCTAGGTCTCTGTGCCCCTTTCACTATCTTATACTGTTCCAGGTACCTGACAAATACAAATTAGCATAAGTTATTGTTCTTGCATTCCAGGCACTTGTGGTGTAATAATATGTAATGCTCTAATTGTACTTAAAGAAATCTGGCAGTACTGAGAAGGTGGTTGTTTAGGGGGATCATAAAACATGTTTTCTGGACAAAAGAAATGTGTGCCTGTCTGAAGGCAATGCAGAAGGAGCCAATACAGAGGGAACAAATTGTGGAAAACTGATAACTAAGTAAGGCCCAAGAAAGCAAGCATGAATGAGGGTAAAAGGGTGCAGAGATTGGGAACAGCCTTGGAAAATGAGAAGGGATAGAAGAGCAGGTTAAAAAGGTAAGTTCAAGTGCCAAGGGGAAGTTTACCATTAACCTTAATTTTTCATTAGTAAAATAAACAACGAGGCCACTGAACAAATGAATATGGATGAGGAAATGATTTGGGAAGGAGGGAGCAAGGCAGAGACTGAATGGTAACTGAGCGGCAGCAATACTTTCGCAAGCTGAATGCAGGCTGTGCGGAGTAATCTTACATTGGCAGAAGTTAGGCTGATGACTTGGAACACTTGCCAATTCACCTAGCACACACCTCCAAATTGCTCAATTAATCTCTCATAACCAACTAGGGAGATTCGTTTGGTTGAGGCAAGTTCCACACATAACTACTCGCTTTAAAAAGTCGCTTCAAGTGAATACCGCAGGCAGGTTGTCTAAAAATCAGTTTTTCTGTGTTTTGTTCATATGGACTTACACTTGGTCAGCCAACGTGAAGAGCCATATGTGTAATATGCTGACTGTCCGATAGATACATGGGAATTTAAAGTCATGACCTGGATACCACTAATTTATCAATTTATCATGTGATTAGAACCTAGTTTTCTGTGACTACGAAAGGTTTTTCTATATGCAACATCTTCCTGGCTTTTTAAGTGGACTAATATTTTTAGCTTGTAAGTAATACAAAATAAGAATAATTTTAGGAAGACATTTTAAAAGCATTTTACTCGTGCAATAGAGCTGCTTCCCTGGCCCGGGCCACTGTCCTTGTGTTGGGCTCCACAGGACAGGAGGCTTTCCACGGGTGAACTGTGACATGGCTCTGGATAACTAGGGCATGTGCCATGTTCTAGGTTTTTAGACCTATAACCATATATATTGTGAATTTTCTTATCAGTGAAAATGAAGGGATTACACAATATGGATTTCCTGTGATTACTCTACATGAGCAACTAATTACACAGCATACCTGAAGGGTTTACAGTTATAATTAAATAAAACTTAAGTCAATCTGACACACACTTAATGATCAGCAGTTATTGTTTTGTGGCATTATAACCAGGCATGAGCATAAGTTGATGGAAGTGGTTATTATAATTAGTTTTTCTTTCCTTGTTTTGTTAGCCCTGTCTTTGTCTCATTCATCAACTATGTCTGCCAGCTTAGCAATCTTTTCAAGAACTTGCCCCTATTGATACATAAGCACACCAGAGGACATAGGCACTGGGTTTGACTCTATTAGACCTGATTTTCTGGTGTTCCTGGTTCCTTTCTTTAGCATTGTTCATACCTAATGTTTCCTGTGTTTTCCCTCACGACTTATCCTTTTAGGCCACAAAGCTCTCTAGTTTGAGTTGCTGGTTTGGGATCAATACTACCCCAGGGGAATGGTGTATATGATGGGGGTTGAGGGGACTCAGATCGTGGGTGATAGGGCAGAGGAGACAAGCCCATGAGGATGGAACTTGGCTCCCTACCATCTGTGAGTCTCGGGGAGGAGAGTCTGCAAGTGTGCTCGGGCAGGGTAAACTCCAACAACAGCCATGCTGTAAGAGTCCTTGGAATAAACCTCAGTAGTCAGAGGCCAGTGCCCCCCTATGCCCCCCTGGCTCACTGTTCTAGGGAAAAGGCGTAGAAGTGTTCTGGGCTATTTCCACTGATCCAGTCCACATTAGGTTCTAAAAACTTTTAAAAACTTTAATTAGGGGGCCTCCCTGGTGGCACAGCGGTTGAGCGCTGGGTTGCAAAGCTGCCCGTGCCTCTGCGGCCCCGGTTCGATCCCCGGCTGCTCCCCGGCCACCGGAGGAGGGTCCCGCATGGCGAGCAGACCTCTCCTGCCGCCCGCTGCTCCCCTCAGCAGTGTACTTAGGTCCTTCTGCCTGCTCTGCTCCCCGCTCTGGCTCTGGTGAATTCTCTCACCCTCCCACGCTTCTGACTGTACCCAGTGCATGTATAAACAAAAACAAACAAATAAATAAATAACATGCCTCTATTAAAAATAAATAAATAAAGTATAAAAACTTTAATTAGGGCCTCCCCTGGTGGCGCAGCGATTGAGCGCTGGGTTGTGAAGCTGCAGCCTCTGCAGCGCTGGTTCGATCCCTGACCTCCGGTGAGGGTCCCACATGGCGCGCAGACCTCTCCTGCCACACCTGCTGCTCCCTTCAGCAGTGTATTTCGTCACTCTGTCTGTTCTGCTCCCCGCTCTGGCTCTGGTGAATTCTCTCACCCTCCCGCGCTCCTGACTGTACCCAATGCTTATATAAATAAAATAAATAAATCTTAAAAAAAATAGGGAATTAAAAAAAATAAAATAAAAACTTTAAACAAATAACCAGAATAATACATTTCTCTCAATGACTATTCTCCATAAAAACCACCTGCCTCATATATATTTGTATCTTTCCTTGATGATTCTGTTACTTGATATTCTTAGGAATACAGTTTTGAAGACCCACTTCTGAGTAAAAATGATATTGTGACCTTAAGTTGAACTTACAGGCATTTCAGGGCAATCATATGCTAGGACGAGAGGCAAAATTCCTTTACAAGTGGAAAAATGCTTTCGTAGCCCACTGTACTGAGTGACGAGCCTCACCACAAACCTTGCACTCTACAATTATGTTAGAAAGGTCAGGCTCTTCTCAAGGTGTCTGGCACTTACCTGCTTGAACTGGAATTGATGCTTAGAGAGCATCAGGGTATGAGGGCTTGGGGGGGTACAAGTGTGTGTTTGCATCTGGGTAACACAATGGCACCTGTAGTTGCCCACTGCTTGGGGTTAAAGAACAATCTGCTCCTAAACTGGGGTTAATTAGTAATTCTGTTGGAAGTATAAGAGAAGATACTGAGCAATTTGTTTTTCACATTTCAAGAACAGTTTAAGCAAAGAACATGTGAAAATTTCTTCAATGGAAAAACAAATCAGATTGACCCAAACAACCTAGATACCATGCTTGGAATCTGACATTAAGAAACACAAGGAGTTTTCTGAAATGTCTATTTTAATGAGAAATGAATACTTGTGTTCACAAGACAAAATCTGGTGCAAAGATTTCTAGGAAGAAAGAATAATTACATTTTCTCCATTTAGCACAACATCCCAGGGACTCAGTTTGTCCAATTGATTGGCCCCCCTTTTAATGGGGCCCCTAGATTCTCTGTCATACCACACCAGAGAAGTCTCCAAAAAGTTGGCTGTTTTCTTATAACTGAGTTCTGTTTTTCTTTTAAAATTAAAAAAAAAATTTTTACATCATTGTTCATTTTTAAACAATATTTGCTCCTCCCCCCACCCCCACCCAGGTGTAGTTCACACAGAATTTCCTTCACCAGTGCACCTGTGCACCCTCACCTCAGTCCCCTGTGCTCCTTCCTCCCTCCCTCTCATTCCTCTCTCCCCTCCTCCCCTGCAGGATGTCTCTGATGTATAATTTTCTGTTTTTGCTTTGTTGTGTTTTGTATTGTTACCATTTTTCTTTACACTGATGTCTTA